GCGACATCATGGACCCAGAAGAAGTGGACTGCTACAATTCTCCTTCTCTGTCGTTCTTGTTTTGGGTCCATGCTAATGTATAATGTACAAGTCTTACCAAATAAGAAACATAAATTATTAAATCCGTAAGAAATCACGACGCAAGCATTAATAATAGATAAGAATGTAGCAAAAATTATAGATAAGATACAAAAATTATAAATAAGAACAAGAACGACATTTATTATTAATAATTGCGTCGTGATTTCTTACGGATTTAATAATTTTTGTTTCTTCTTTGGTAAGATTTGTACAACATACATCAGCATGAACTCAGAACAAGAACGACAGAGAAAAGGAAATGCAGCAATCCACTTGCTCGTAGACTATGATAACACGTACATTAACTGCTCTCCATGTTACACATTATCTCATATCGGAGACAAATGAGTTGGGAAAATGCTTACCGCGCATTCAACCAGATTCAACAACATATTCCGCATGACGCAGGAGATATTTAAAGATCTACTAGCAAAACTCATTGGATTTCATGGTTCTATGAGTCATCAAGGACGACTGACCGTAAGGTGTTGGCGATGACTCTCTACATATTATCACAAAATGAGTCAATGCGTAGTGCGATGGAATGATTCCAACACTCATCAAAGACGATAAGAAGATACTTCTCAGTTGGTTTGAGTGCTCTTGGGAGCCTCTTCACACAAGTCATAAAACCAATCGATCCAACGTTCGCTCGAACTCCTACGGAGATTCGACATGATGCACGTTACATGTCATTCTTTAAGAAAATAGTTGCAATTTCTAGTGTTGAAATTTAAATATGACTTCCGGATTGCATTGATGCAATAAATGGAACACATGTTGATGCACGAATTACAAATGATGAGAAAATTACATTTATCGAACGTTGTGGAACCCCTACACAAAATGCCATGACAGTGTGCGACTTTAACATATGCTTTACTTTTGTCATGACTGATTAAGAGGGTAATGCGAACGACAACATAATTTTCAAGAGTGCTACATGGAATCCTTATTACAACTTCTCTAACCCTCCGCACGGTATGTTGCATCCTGAAATCTTTTGTTTATTTTCTTTATATGTCGCACTAAAGCTGCAATACCTCACAGGAAAGTATTATTTGGTGGATGCCAGTCATCCATTATAGCGATGATATCTTAAACTTTACCATGACACCAGATATTATATACCTGATTTCGAGCAATCAGTAATGTTATGCGAAATAGAAAGAATATGTATAACAAAATATATTCTTTAGCGAGACGTCATCAAGAGAACTTCTGTTATTTGAAAGAATAAATGAGTGATATTACGTGATATGATATCTTACCCATTTCCCAAACAGGTTCAGATTGTGATAGCCACGATGATGCTACACAATTATATTAGGCGGCATCTGTCTCGATTTGACGTTGACTTCCGCAGTATCGAAGAGAATCAACTGGAAGTTCCTGCGAAGTATTTGAATACCACATCGATTATTCTCTGTCACGAGATGACAATGACCATTCCACCATTTGCACGAAGTGGAATGTGCAAATAAAATGACAACCATTCGAGAATATATCACTAATGCGTTAGTTGGAGGATGATTGATTCCTTTATAAGTTGTTCTAAGGACCAAACAATTGTAATTTGGGGTGATAAAAAAGAGAAGTTTGATTATGTTGACTAGTAATGTAAGCATTCCTTATAAATATTTGTGTGAAATAAAATCAAATGTCATTTATTTTTTCCCTTTTCATGTTCTATATGACTGAGTAGTTCAAGATGAACCATCTCATTGATGCATTATTACTGCAATTTAAAGTTCTAAAAAAAAAGGTTATGACTTGTTGTACGAGTAAGTAATATGAGCTGCTGTTTTCTCTTTTGTTGCAATCAGAAAAATATGAGCTCAAAGATTTACGGGACATCTCGACAATTGCTCTGCCACTGTGACCTCCAAACTTCCTTGTTGACATCAAGTCGGTCGCACAACTACAGGAGAAAGTTCTATAGCTGCCCAAGAAGCATCGCAGAATAGTGTAACTTCTTCTGTTGGGCAGACAGTTCGACAAATTCCCTTGACGACGATGATCGGGAATGGAAAACATCACTTGAAAGTCTAGCAAGGGAGCTACACAGTGTGACTGCTAAAAATGATATACTCATCTTGGTAATTGTCGTTATGATTGTTTTAGATTTTTTTTGCTCTCTTGATACTCACTGTGACGTGAGAAGTGTATATGTAATTCTATACTGTTTTTAATTGAAGTTTAGCCTTAAGAGCAGTTCTTCATGATTAAGAAATTTAATGTGATATAAATGATGAATTGTTGTTGTAATACAATAGAAATTGACTACTAAAGTTAGCAGTGTATTTTTTTAGCATCATTTACATTTATAGATCTAACATTTAAACTTTGCATTTTACATTTCTACCACTTAAGTATTTTATATCACAAAAGAATATCATTTTAAAAATTTAAAATGGTAGTATTTTAAATGTGATATGAAAGATTTGAGTGATAAAAATGAAAAATTAAAGTATAGGCATTCAATTGCATTTTGACTTGCCTGAGTCGTATTCTCCTTCAATAATAGTGATGTAATTAGGATTGATTAGAGCACTTCCAACAACCCTTCTACATTCTATATTTGTGAAGTTCATTCTTACAGGTTGGTCTATGTAAATATATATATGAATTATGGTGTAAATTCTTTTTTTTAATATCCTTCTCATAGAGATTGTGATGATGATGATGATTTTTGTTTATCCATCTTACAGTTCATTATACAGATGAGTGATGATGCTGATTGTTTTTTCTTCTATTGTCATTTCTCTTCATCAATTTTATTTTCATTTGATTTTGTAAATCTTTTGGCTTTTGTAAATCTTTTTATTTGCTTTTATAAATCTTCAACAGATTGTAGCTTCTTTCCTAGAAATTGATTACAAAATTGCTTCTCATTTATAATAGAAAAGATAGCTGGTGAGCCATTCATTATAATTTCTTTATATAGAATTCGTTGTTGAGTTTTTGTGCTAGTCTGTCATCATGCTTTGTTGGATAAATTGTGTTTGTTAGATTCAACTAAAGGAAGTGAAATAAAATTAAATTGGGGGATTACATGCTACCATTTAATTCGTGTATTGCCGGTTCAATACCTAAATTGTAATAGTTACATCTTTCAAAAGGTTACAATCACATCATTTGTCTTACTTCAGTTATTATGAGGCATACAAAATATAAATTTTATTTTTTATGAATTATACATTATAAAATATAAGTTATGAATTTTGCAAAGTAAAAAATAATTTGAAAACATGAAAAACATATCATTTTTTTAAATATTATTATTTTACAATATTTTAGAGAAATTATATTTATGTTACCGAATTCAATACATGCCTTTGACCAGACATGTATTTCATATATTTACCTATTCAACACTTAAATTTATTACATATATTAATCAATTCCATAAATATACATATCTAACACTTAATTTATTCCATAACCATAATTAATTTCATATATTTACATATCTAACACTTAAATTTACTTTATTACACTTATGCTACCCAACTCTTTCGTATGACCTCCAAAATATTATGCAAATTTTCCTAAAAATTAAAGTTTGTGTTAAATATGTAAATACATAAGAATGTGTTGCATATGTGTAATTATTCTAAACAAAAATTTTTAGTACTTTCGAGGCTCACTATTAAGTGAGCGGTATATCTGAACTTTCTTTTATGTTTAAAAATAAATTTCTGCTTCTAAAGTTTAAAAAATGTGGTTGTTACAGTCTTCTTTTAAACACTTTTATCAAACATGAGCATCATGGTCATTTTTCCAAAAATAGTTGCTCCACAGTTGTTTTCACATAGCTGCACCAAACAAACAATCAGCTTCCCTGCAGTTGCTTTACCGCAACAGTTTTCTGGGGCAGCACAACTCCACCTGAAAAGCTGAGAAACTGCAGCTGCCCCAAATGGAGCCTAAATGCATAACTAGAGATTGAAACTAGATCATAATTGCATGAACTATTCTCAGAAAAACACCAAGGATTTAAGTGGCCTCTTACAAAAGGATAACAAAGCTACGGCACCGTATTAAATTTTCTGCTTTTCAAAAGGCAAAGACTTAAAAAAGTATTGTGTTTGGCTCTAAATACTCTTATAAATATCAAAGAATCAAATAAGGAAGAATAAGTATTTGTCCACAGTGGTCATTCTCTACTTCTGCATTGTTTGGTGGTTATGACTCTAAAACTGGTTCGGAACTTAGCTTTCATTGTGGTCCTTAGAGTTCTTTTGCAAATGGAATTCAGCTTTCAAGAATTGTTTTATTCTGCATAAATTCCGAGATGATTCATCATTTGCATGATCACAACTATTCAGTCAGCTTTAGGAATTCTCATCTTCAACATTCCTGCTGAATGCTACTAGATGTGTCATCCATACAACTTCTATCCATGAATCTGATGAATCTCTTTGCAAGGACAATTTCTAGCACAACCAAGGGCACAGAAACTAAATAGGGAAATTTACATGCTTAGCACACAATGCTTATGTATTTACATATCTCGCGCCTAAACTTTCGTATTTACATACATACCACTTTGGTGCTTTAAACCTATGCATAAAAAGGTGTATTCACTTTTAACAAGTGGTAATAGTGCTATGACATTAAAGATTTGAGTGCTCAGTATGTAAATATGAAAGTTTGCTTGTGATATATGTAAATACATAAGAGTTGTGTGCTATGTATGTAAATGTCCCAAATAAATAATGCATGTTCACAAAGCATCGAAAACAGCTTCATGAATAATTTGCCAAGTGACCTCCAACGTATCACACGTGTTCAGAGGTTAAAATAAGCATGAAACTCGAACACAATCATCAAAGAAAATATGCTAGAGATTTGCAGTGAGGAAAGAAAATAGCTTAGAGTTTTAAAGAGAATAATTAATCAGAGAAAATTCATACTTTCCCCATTCAGGAGGTGCATTCCAAGCAGACAACAGCATGTCTGATTTGGCATTTGGAAGACAATTTCTGACAACGAAGGACTTTGTGGTAAACTGAGCGACACCGATATCTTTGTAATCACGATCAAAATCATATATCTGCCAGCAAAAATCAAACCCAAAAATCATGAAATAGCACTACAGAACAGAACCCAGGTCAAACTTAGAAAATGCATAAATAGCAAACTAAATAAACCATTTTGAAAAAATAGCACGGCTAAAAAATAAAAGCACAAGGGTTCGTCAGGTCATAAGATACAAAATGGCCTTGTTCCAAATCCAAACTGTAGAAGCAATGATCGAACATGACAACAATATGCAGCTTCGCTATTTTAGAAGCCAACTTACATACACAGCATACAAGCACACACCCGAATTACTGCACAAGTTAAGGGACCAAACTGAAGAAATGTAATATTTTGGGACTATGGCCACCTACGAATAGTCAGGGGACTATTTTAAACTTTTTACTATTTTTTCATGAAATGTTAAGACTATGGAGTCAGCAAAGAATCCAACATGCTGTGATGACATCAGTAAAAGGCTTCGCTGTTTTAGAAGCATACATGTATCCATATCACACAAGCAAACCTTCAGCATTATTACTCATGTTATAGGTGTAAAAAATGGTTAAAATTGTATATTCTCTACATAGCATTATCATAATTCTCAACATATTCACTTCTTATTCTTGAATTGCTAGAAATTAGTGTTGCAATGTAATTATATAATAAATAGTAGGGTGAAGGTTAACAATGCTGATGATTGTTACAATGTGACAAAATAATATTGCACATAAGTTGTGCACTTATTATAAATTTGTATTTCATAACATTTTATTTTAAATGCTAGTATTAGAGATATTGATGCATAATTTATGTTCCATTTATTAAATGTTCACCGTCATTGTGATGTTCAGTATGCTTCTTTATGTATTAAAATTAATTAGGAATATCTATTACTAAATATTATTTCTTAGTTTCAGGACAATTGTTATGCAATACGTTCATAAGAAAAAGGGCACTTTCAGTTCGCTGATTATTTGTAAATAGAATCTCATATCCATAAAATAACCAAGTTATGACGAGTTAAAAAATAAAATTCTTGAGTCTATTTTGCCGCATTAGTTCTTCATTTTATGCTTGGAGGAATCAACATAATGTATTTCAAGGATTGAATAGTTCCAATATCTTATGGATTCAAAATCTATGGCTTAAGGATTAGCCATATATTGTTCTCTTTTATCCTTCTTCTCTACATCTTTTTTCTTAAATTCTAAGAGAATCTACAATTCAATTACCTACCCGGCACCAAAGTATAAAGATGCCTGTAATCATTCATCAAGAAAAAAAAAAACCAATAGGAGTTGTTTGGTGAAGCAAGTTGAGTTTATATTAAGTAGGATTTAATAAAACCTATACATTCAGATTTAGTAAATCCTAAGATGTTTAAATCCTGAAACATGTTAGGTATGATAGATGTTAAATTCGGGTGAATCTTATGAAATTGTTTGACAACTTATTTTAGGATTGAAGTACGTTAGTTGACATATGAATTTAATATTACATATCAATGATATGATTATCAAGTTTAATTAAACTTCATTTAAATTTTTATTTCTAATTATTATAATAAATAATTAACTATTTACTAAAGTAATTAATCATCAGTAAGAATTTATTGAACTAATTATGTATAAACAATAGTCATGTTCATTAATTAATAATTTATTAGTTATTTATTAAACTAATTAATAATTAACTAAATTTTATAAAATTAATTATATAGTTAAATACAATTTAATTTCTATTAATTAATTATGAAGTAGTTATAATTAAATTCATATAATTATAATTAGCTTCATAATATAATTATTGATGACTAATTAATTATAAAGCAGTCACATATAAGTTACACATAAGTTTATATAATTATTATTAATTAATTAGATTTAGTTTAGATACACTATATATATGTGTATAAAATAACTTGCATATTATATATAAAGTGCATCAAGTTTTTTTTTAGTCTGCTACGAATCCAATGATTCAGGTCACGTAACTAGGTTTAAATTCAAGTCAATTTCAAATGCCAAATGAATTTTTTTATTTTGAATCATAACTACTTGATTAAAATAGCTCATTATCATCCTAAAGGTTATCCTGTAAATTCAAAATTGACCCTTATTGGGTTCATGTAATATTTTGATGATTGATTATAGAATGAAAGAGGAGTTCCAAAAGTTCTTGTTCGATGAAGTGTGTCCCAATCTAGGTATGCGGAGTTCTTCAGGATTTTTGCTAGAGTATTTAGTTTTTCTTTACCTTTCTATTACACGAGTAATAGTCACTCCCCTTCAGCCTTTTCATCTTCATGCCACGTTTTCCCATTGCACAACTTATTGGAAGCAAGGATACAACTCGGAAATCTCAATAGAATAAGAAAATGGCAAGGTCACAGGCATACAAATATACATATCAGCACACATGGATAACAGCTACCAAATTGTCTAAATGCTTTGAAAATACTTGCTGAAGAGGTCTAACAACACTCACCATGTCATTTATCTCAGCTTCTGCAAAAGATTTACCATCTGCAAGCATACTCCACACAACCTTGTTAATTCTCATCGAAATTCTCATAGCACAGGAAGGACTCTTATTTTTTTCCTTCTCCATCAATCGCAATTGTGCTGCTTTCTGGAGTGACAACCTCAATGCTGAAGAAGCCTCTTTCCTAGATTTTTGAGCATTTCCAAGCTCTTTCCTCAGCCCACGTATCTGACAGGTAGGAGAAAAACCTTAACTTGGAGAAATAAAGTACTATATGAAGGTAAAATTAGATAGTAAAATAAAAAGAAAAGGATTTTGCATGCAGGTAAGCAGGTTTACTCAGATAACTTTTCTCACTTATTTCAGAGATGTTTACTATAAAATGCTTGTTTTGATTGTTGTTTACTCGTAGAATATCATTGACATAGATTACAAAAATCACGACAATCAGAACATAAAAATCTTATCTGTTGAAAAAATATTAAATGCCATGCCATCGCCTTGTGTATATACAAGGCCAAAAATAATGTTAACAATGCAAGTGTAGTGAAGTTTAATTACAAGGTAATCCAAAGAAAAATTTCAATGAGCTTAAAATCATACCAATCTTAGTTTTCCACAAGAAAGCATCCATAAATCATTATCTCTATCTGTAAATAGACTCAAATCACCTCCAATATCATTTGAAACCGTCAGAGTCCTTATATCATCAAGAAATAACTTCCTTTCTCTCTCTTTTTGTTCAAGTTGGATTCTAGCAAGCTCTACTTCCTCCACACCATCAGGAACCACCTCATCAGCCTCTTCTTCAACATCATCATCATCATCAGTAGGGTATGAGAGACTGCTTTTACGAGGTCTGCACATTAATTAAGTCTGATATAAATATTTTCAAAGTTCGTATAAACTTGGTCATATATGGAAAATAAGCAAGAGAGTATAAGGACGCCATATCAAATACAAGGGAAGCTAAGAAACATAAGGAGAAATTGAAATGCAAAGAAAAAAAGCAATTCCGTACTTGGGAAGTCTAGCAAATAGCAGGCTACTAAGAACATCCAACATGACCTGAAACTGCCGTGATGTCATCGTTGCAGTGATATTAGGAGAATTGAAGATGAGCTCCTTTAACGGCTTAACCTGAATGTAGAAAAATGAGTTGCATTACTCAAACCTGCACTTACACCCTAGTAAACATCATTTCATCAAGCATTGCAAAATGACGAAAATGTCAAAATGGCCCCTGACTCTTTGTATGGTGTCATTGTAGTCACAGAGTCTATAAAATTCTTAATTTAGTCCATGTACTCTTTTACAAGGGCTAAAATAGTCCCATATTAAAAGAGTGTGGGAACTAATTTAACAATTTTGTAGAGTCTGGGATTAAAATAGCCCCATTCAAATAGTCAGAGGACTTATTTAACACTTTCTTAGTTGCAAAATTATCATACCTTCAACTCTGATGTACCACCTTTATGCCTTGTGTAACGAAAGTACATTTGGCACGGCATAAAAACTCTCTCAAGTAAAGCACCAGTTCGTTTTACTTTGGGTGAGCTCCTAAGAATTTTTGGCAACCACTGCAGGCCTGCACCAGGATCAACATCAGTTGGTGCTACATGAGCTTGAACGTGCTCTAGCATCACAGAAAGCTCAGCACGCTTCCAAGTCATCTCAGGTTTCATATCAGGAAATGAGGCACTGCTGGTGCCCAAGGCTTGTTCAATCATCTCATACCCAACATGAAAAATAGAATGAAAAGAACGAGCTAAGACACGACCGCTGGCTGCAGCGAGGAGAAACCGACCCTGATACAAAACCAAGAGTCAAATTACAAAAATTTGAGGCACAAATAAGAAAAACATAAACAGTTGGATGCCAAAGTGAAAATGTTAAGAAAATGGTAGAGATACGTAGAAAAATTCACTCAAAGTAAAAAAGACTGCAGATAAAAAAAATTGATATTAGTTATTATCTTTTTAATTCAAATTATAAAATGCAATGCGTACAAATAGATGCCTTTGCTGCAACTGTACTGATGTCATAAACCATTTTTTGATTGACATTCTCAAAGTACTTTTGATGAACTAATACAAAGCGAAAATCATATGAGGGGCCAAAGGACCAACTGGAAGTAGAAAATTGGGAAAAGAGAAATAAGAGAAATTGAAACAGCTTCTACTGTTTGACTGATCAGGTGGGATGTGAATTGTGCTGTGGTATTATATAAAAAGAAGATTTACATACATACCCCCAAATTTTTATTTATTATAAACCCAAGTATCTGTTCATGAAATTAAGAACCTATTCGGGGAAATAGAAGCTTGTAATTTAACTTCTTACATGTACATTGAAGGCCCATCGAGTCTCTTAAGACTGGTGGGATACAATAATCTTTCGTCTCCCGACCGCAATGTTTCACAACGCTGATTGGTTAGACATCTAAAACAGTTGGGAAGGCTGGCGCTCAGGACCCTAACAGGGATAGGTGACGGAAGACTACAAAAATTTTGGGTGAGTTGGACTTGAAAATGACTTTAATTTTTGGACTATTTGAACTTATAAAATGATTTATATAATATGGATCATTTGAACTTATGATAATAACTCAAGATTGAACTGTTGAACTTGCAACATGAACTTAAAATTTGAGATGTGAAGACTTTCAAGATGACCTAAACTTGGACTTAAAAAATGACAAAAAAATAAAAGACAGTGCATATTATAAGACACAAAAAGTCACTTATTTTATAGTTCCAAGTCATTTCAAAAAAGAATAACTTCAAATCTGCACAAGACATGAAAAGATCTATGAAGAATTTAATAATAGACTAATTAATGTAACTGGGTTTCTCTTTGATTTCAAATTTGAGTAAAATTGTAAATTATAATCGTGTTTGAAAATGATTTAATCAAAATTTTATGTCCTATTGCAAGCATATCATTATATGGTCTATTTGAAATGCACAAAAAAGAATCATATATGAGCACATAAATGTCATTTTTAAATGTTCAATAAGTACTTGATATGCCTAATTGCCACTAGATTCACAACGTGGCAAGCGAACATAACACGGTCTTTTGAAAGCTCAAAATAAAATCTTATATGCATCCCAAAAGCTCTAATATCACATAAACTTTCAAAAGATTTGAGTGATTTCAAGATAAATCTTAAGATAGTGTTTGATCTTGAATTAAAGATCATAAGATTTATGCAAAGATATTTTAAGATTCCTTCTATCAATTGTACTTTCAAACTACATACATGCATTTAAACAATAAAGATATTTGTGTGACTAACAATGTTGGAATAATTTTTTAGACACAAAATATCACTTTGAGAAAATTTTCAACATCAATGTATAATCTCAAAAGACTTGTGATTATTTGATAATTTATGTATTTGTATATTATAGATGTGTCAAATATTAAATTATACATGGAAAGAACACAAATTATATAATCACATCTAATAATTTGCCAAAATTTATGTAATTACATCAAACAAAGGCATCAAAATGCATGTACATTAGCAAAAGTAAACCTGCATGTGTTCCGCCGAAATTTACTATTATTTAAATGTATACAGTCTGAGAATGCTGCACAGGTTAAATTTAAATATTCACACAAATAGTTATTATTTTGAGAAGCATGCCAAATTCTTTCGAAAAATCTGCAATTATGTCAAGTTAAAGAACCCTTATGTTTTAAAAATCAAATCCAAGATAATCGACCTAAATAAGCTCTCAATCGGGTCGCCATACTATAGGGCAAGGTTGTAAATCCTACCCAATTAATTTGATCCTCTTCACAAGAACTGCAGTATACTAGTCTTGTACCTTCAATAATGTTCAAATAACAAATATAAGAATTTGCAAGCCAATATCGCTTGTCCAAACCTTCTCCTAAAAAAAAAGACATTTTATAGATATTCAAATGTCAAATTTGAAATGAATTTCAAACATAAATGCTTTATGCCCAAATTCCTTGATGCGGTCGAGTTGATAGAAAATTTCAACTGGAGGAGTTAATTTTAAAATTAAGTTTAGAAATTAACTGTAGACTCCAAAAATGCGACGCCTCGAACTCTTTGTTGCTCTTGAGAGTTTTATAGGGTCAAATTTTTAAAAGACAAGCTGGATCTGGGGTTTGAAGTTTTCCGTAGGTGCAAAACACTTTGATTAATCACCTCTCTCGATAACGAGAGAACAGTTTCAATTAATGCTAGTCATTAAGCATTGAATAATGAAAATATAGTAACAACAGACTTAGGGTTTAAGTTGTAAAATTTATTACTTTAAGCTTAAAGTGACTTTTGGGGGGTGTGTGTGTGTGTGTGTGTGTGTGTGGGTGGGGATGGTGATGAACCAAATCAAGGTCTCATAATTTTGACGCCCAAGGTCATCGTGTTCCCTGATTTACTTAGTCATATGAGGTAGTTGACACAACCTAACTGAAAGATCCTTGCCAGCAATCACAAATTGTGTCATTCAAGGGATCACTTTAGATCTAGCATGGATGTTTGTCTAAGAAGATAATTTAAGTCGACTTTAACTAAAAAAATGTTTTATGACAATCGAATGTACCCTTATAATTCATGACTCAAATGATAGAAAGTTGTTGGAGAACATACAAGTTGTGATCGTGACCATAATAAAATGGTGGCATTTGCCTACAACCACTCGGTCAAAGAGTTTTGATCATAACTGTTACTTTTTGTGGAGCCTTTGGGACAAATAACATTGACAGAGGACTTGTGTCAATCCTTATTGACATGCGATTACTTTAAATTTGATTATATAGATACATTTGATGTAGCATTTGCTCATTGTAAGATGAAGTCAATCAAAATTATCACCCCAACAAACAGTTGTGGGGAGTGGATGGAGTTGTTTTAAATTTTTTAAGTGATTAATTTTAAGTTGAATATTTTGACTCGTTACTTTGAATATTTGATTAAAAAATTTATCCATCCAGTTGAAATCTTTTATCAACATGACCATCACCGAGAAATTTTAGGGGTTTAAAACATTTATGTTTAAAATTCATTTGAAATTAAACACTAAAATATTTATAGAATATTTATAGAATATTAGGCTTGTCAACTCCAGTTATTATTAGGAGGATCGGGCTAGGTAACTTGGACTTGCAAGTTCTTATACTTGTTATTTGGAAATTATTTTAAAATTATTAGACTTATCAACTTCAATCTTTAAGAAGAGAAGGATAGACTAATTGGGTAGAACTTACAAACCTGTCTTATAGACGAAGAGTCCACATTGAGAGCGTACATGATTTAATTATCTTGCATTTGACTTTTATTATCTTAGATTTTTCAAAAGAACCTTGCATTTTTATCAGAGCAAGTGAGTGAAGATTTAACCTTAACCCACACAACATTCTCGAACCGTTTACATTTAAAAATTTGTATAATTTGGTGGAGCACATGAGGTCATTTTAGATAGCTTTGCGTATCTTAAGGCAACTTACACGATTTTAAAGCATGAATTGAATCTAGAATTGCTTTAAAAGACACCTGTAAGACTTGAAGTTATATAAACATTTTATGTCAATCAAGTGTACTCCTATGATTCAAAATACACATGTAAGACTTAAATTTAACCCCTTAGACAAAAATTTACCCTAGATGTACAAGAGTCCCTTAGACGACACAACTCATATTTGTTGATAAGAATATTTCAATTAGGTTGGGTCGACTATCTCCTCTAAGTAGATTAGGGATTACGATATCATGAGATTCGTCATTATTTTCCCACCATCCGCTTTACGATCAAAGTGATAAATTTTATAATCTTAACCTTAAGTCTGCTACTACTATACATTGATTATTCAGTGCTAAATGACTAGCCTTAATCGAAAATGCTCTCTCATTATCGTGAAAAAAAATTAATTATAGGAGCTTACGACTATGAGAAACTAATGCGCGAAATTTTTGCGAGGCAAGTCGGTTAATCAAACAAGTAAATGTGTAGATCAAGTAATATATGAATTATGAATCCGTGTATTGATCCTATGAAAAAACTTGTCAGATTCTTCTAACAGGTGAACTTATAATTTATTAAATATCTGAATCTAGTTTGAATGTTCACTTTGCAGATGAGAAAGTCCTAAAATCCTAATACAAAAAGAAAAAACTAAACTAGGTTTTGTGAAGTTTTTCAAGGATGAAGTAATCATACTCCTATGACACCAGTTAAGTGATTTCTCAATGTTTTTCCAACGAAACTCACACTATTATTGACAATCAGGAACAAAATACTTCTTAGCCTATGTCAATGTCATAAGAAGTTGGAAATCATGTTACAGTTAAGTGGGGCTTCATCAAGCAACATTTCCCAGAAATCCTCTAGTCCCGTATGTAGGTGAGAATTTTCAAATGACAATATGTCTATTCCACTAGGCTATTGTGTGTAAACCTACTTATTCTTCTAGGCAATGGTTAAAAGTCGTAGAACGCAAGAGATTTTAACATTCTCTCGAATCAGATAAAATGTAAATTCATATCGAAATATTAACACATCAACATAAAAAATCCAAGCACGAGAAGGTGTCTAGGGAACGACATCCATATGGTAAAATAATGAGAAAATTATATCTTACATCTCAGAAATACCGAAACGTGATTAATTATTATGAATGATAAAAGAAAACAAAAAAATTGTTACTGCCGGTATAAAAAGAAAACAATGCAAGAAATACAAAAAACTCGAATCCAAGCCAATTGGTCTTTGCAAAACATCATGATCCCTTCCACTTAATACAAGCTTCCATAGATCTCTCTCATACA